AGTGACGAAAGCAGCAGGGGCACCAAGTGTCACAACACCAAGGGACACCCCAAGGACGTCACAGCCCTGGGGAGGGGGTTTCAGGAGGCTCCCAGGGGTGTCCCCACACTTGGGGGGACCCCTGACCCCCATGTCCCCCCTATAGGACTTCAAGGGTGTCGCCCCTCCTGCGCTGTCGCCCCCCCTGGGCCCCTGTGCCCTGGGCCCCCGGTACTGGTGCTCCGGCCCCGAGCCCGCCCGGCGCTGCCAGGTGAGTGGGGACAGGGGGGACACGGAGGGGTGGCACCCCCCGCACCCCCCACTGACCCCTCTGTGCCCCCCAGGCCCTGCAGCACTGCCAGGAGCACGTCTGGCTGTAGGGGGGCACTGGGGGCCCCCTCAGCACTTCCCAATAAAGCTTGGATGCAGTTCTGCCTCAGCGTCCTCAGTTTTTTGGGGTGTTCCCGGGGGTCATGGGGTGCTGGGGGGTCATGGGGGGGAACAGTGGAAACCACGACCCCCCTAAACACGAAGAAGAAAAAAGGTGAAAAATTAATTACAAAAATAAGTGGGTGGCATTTATTTGGGGTGGGGAGAGACACAGCACGGGGGGGGGGGGGGGGGGGGGGGGGGGGGGGGGGTTGGGGTGTCCCCAGAGGGGTTATGGGTGATCCCAAGGGGCTCAGGGTGTCCCCAAACGGTTCTCTGGGTCTCCATAAGGGACTGGGAGTGACCCCAAGGGGGTCTTCGTGTGGCCCCAAGGGGGCTGGGGGTGTCCCTGGGGGTCTCAGGCCCCTTGTTGGTTTGTCTCATCCTCCTCGCGCCGCTTCCAGATCTGGGGGGGAAAGGAGGTCAGGGCACCTTCTGGGGTGCCAGGGGACACCCCAGGGGTGCCAGCTGCCCCCTGCCCCCCTCACCTGGATGTAGGCCTCGGACAGGGTGATCATCTGTGGCAGGATGTCGGTCACCTGCAGGTCCTGCAGCTCGTACCACTTCCCTGTGCCCTGCCGGGACCAGGAGGGGAGAGGGTGAGCCGGGGGGTCCGTGAGGGCCCCCCAATACCCCCTGGGGGGGGACACTCACGTGGTGCAGGACGTGGATGCGGTAGGAGCCCTCCGAAGGTTTCCCGTCGTGCACGATGTTGGCGATGAGGTCGTAGGTGGTGTGAGCGTGCGCTGCCTGCACCTCCTCCGACAGGTACTCCCGCAGGTCCACATTCCTGGGCACCCCACGCGTCTCAGGGGGGCAGGGGAGCACCCACAGGTCCCTCCAGATGCCTCCAAACCCCCTCCAGATGCATGGACACCCCCTTCCCCAGAAGCCCCCAAACCCCTTCTTGATGCCCCCACACCCTCCCCAGATGAAATCAACTCCCCCCAGATGTTTTCAAATCCTTCCTTGATACCCACGAACCACTCCCAGACGCCTACAACCCCCCAACACCCACAAACCTTCTCCAGGCACCTTCAAACGCCCTCCCAGCTGCCTTTTCCATCTCCCAGATACCTACAACCTTCCCCTGGACACCTTCAAACATCCCCCACGTGCCCCAGATCCCCTCCAAAGTGGTTTTAAACCCCATCAGGTGCTTCCAACCCTTCCCCAGGTGCCTTCAAAGCCCCTTCAGATGATTTCAAACGCTAAACCCTCTCCTGGATGCTTTCAAGCCCTCTTAGATACCTACAACCCCCTCCACATACCCACAACCATCCCTAGACATCGTCAACCCCCCCCCAGTGTCCTCCTGGATGCCTCAACTCCCCTCCCCGCCCCCCAGGCTCACGTGATGGGGAAGTTGACGATGGTGGGGTTCTTCTCCACGAAGAAGTTGTTCTTGGTGAAGCGCTTGATGCAGAAGATGAGGTAGGGGGGCAGGCGGGTCAGCTGGAAGCGCTTCAGGAAGTTCTCCTTGTAGGTCTTGTACTCCTTCTCGGTGCTGCCGTTGAACTTGGCCAGGATGCTGAACAGGGGCACCTGGGGGATGATGAGCTGCTCCTTCTCGTCCTTGTAGAGCGGGGCCGTGGGCAGGTCCAGGGTCAGGTACAGGAAGGTGGACTCCACCATGCGCTCCTGGTACTCGCTGTTCTGCAGCAGCTGCGCCTTCTCCTCTGCTGGCTGGGGGGTGGGACCCGTGGGTGACACCCCTGTGGGACCCCAATACCCTTCACCAGACCCCAACACCCTCCACTGGACACTGACACCCCCACTG